TTCCCATTTTTTAATGTTTTTTTTTATTTACTTGTTTCCATTCTTTTTTTTTAATGTGATAAATTACATACTGTTATGATTGTGTGGTTAGGTTAATTATATTCATACTGATCACGTGCGCATAAATTAAAATGGCGTCAAACCACAAACCCACGCGGTGTCTGCAGCTGGATTTTGTCTTCCATTTTGCTCCCTGTCTTTGCTTCTTTTTGAAACTACCTTTGTGGTCCTTGACCTAAGCACAAAAGAATGATGTAAAAGCCAACTTGAGCGGTTCACTGGATTAAAAGATTATCCGGTGCATAGAAGAAGATGAAAGAAGAAAAAAAAGTCTGAAGAATTTTGTAGAAATTTGAATTTGGGCCTGTTCTCCAGAAATGCTCCCGCTGCATTACAGTTCACTTTAAAGATACCAGGTGAATCGCTCACTGAAGGAGAGCTCATCTAAGCCATTTATGAGGCTGCACAACGTAAGATAAAAGAGTTATAAGTGTTTGAAAATTATAAAAACGGCCGCCATCTTGAAAAATCAACCTCAATCCTACATATAGGCTACCGCCTATATAATAAGTAAGAACTTTCTTGATGTCTTTTCCATTTCAGTGCTTGTTTTTAGTAACAAATAAGTATTTTACTTTTGATTAACTAAACCTAAAAATTTTTACCTACATGTAGCTTACTAAACTAATAAATGTACAGTAAACTAAGAATATTTGCATGGTTTAAGTAAACTGTGTACAGTCACAGTTTCAGTGGATAACAACTTTTCCAACACAAAATAAAACTATTCTACCAAAAAACTAATGCTAAAACTGTCTAAAATTTAATTACTAATACAGTGTACCGCAGATAAAAATGAAAGTACAATTCCCACTAGGAACAAAAAATGAAACACAGTGTCAAAAAATTATTAAAAAAGCAAAATTTCAAAAAATTGAGAAAGGCCAACAAAAATACATTAAAGTTGATACCAGACAATTCATACAATATCACAAAAAAAAATCTAAAATGCAAACTTTACGAAAATGCACATAAAAATTTTCAAGTTTATGTGTCAAATAAATAAAATACAAATAAAAATGAAGAAATTTCAAAAATATCTCAAAAAATTACAAGGAAAAAATTAAAAGTGTCTGAAAACAATTGTAAAGAACTTCATAAATCAACCAAGTTAGAAAAGAGTTATACATACATTGTACGTGAAACATTAAGAAAAGTTTAAAATCTCTTTAAAAATCCACAAAAGTTGTGAAAAAAATGAAAAATCAAGAAAATACAGAATACATGTAACTAAAAAATTTATAAAGTTTTCAAAAAAGTGGATGTGTAATTCATAAAATTAAAATATGTGACCATAATTGACAAAAGGGCCCTTATAGCGGATTTTAAAATTGATCTTAATAATGCCAAATATCAACCTGTGAGTGCTTTGTTAGACAATCATTGTTTCTAAAAGTTTCATGGTAACTTTTTGCATCCTGTGGAGTAATTTTATGATAAATGGGGCTCAGGAAGTTGGATTTCTTAGGCTAGAAAGACAAATTTCACTACCCGCCATAAGGTACCTTTTGTCAATTATGGTCACATATACGAAAGAATTTCACAAACTTGGAATAAATATATAAAAATATTACAAAAGCTGAAAAAAGCCATAATAAAATCATAGTACTTATGCACATGAAATTTAGTAAAGGAACTCACTAAAATTAGCAAAGACAAAATTTATTAAGAAACCACAAAAATGAGAAAGAAATTTACAAAGATATAATCAAAATGGACAAATTAACAAAATTTGAAAAATTATTTCAAAAGCAAAATTACAAAAAATTCAGAAAGGCCAACAAAAAGACATTGAAGCCTTGGTTTCCTGCCATAGTAATGGGTATTCAGCTTTGAAAATTCTTTAAAAATCTAGTGGAATTAGCTGATCATTTCTACATAACATACATTTCTACATAACATAAGCTGATTTACATTTTGTGTCCATGAACCAGAAAATGTAATATTGCATGTAACAGAAAATCACAAATGTTTTGACAATTATACAAACAGTATCTATTATATCCAATATGGTGCACATGGGAATGGTGGGTTACCACACCCTACACGGTATACAAACACTGTACATGCATGGGTATTACTTAAATTAAATAAAGTCAGTGAACTACAGTATCCACACTTTACATATACCGTACGGTTGGTAATATTCGAGGGTCCAAAATTTCGTGTTTTCTCCAAAATGTCCTTAGAACCTAATATTGGTGGGTACAAATATTCGTGGGTGGTAGTAAGCAAACTTCTTTTCACTTGGATCTGCTGGACTAGCTTCCAACACATGGCTTATGGTGGAATATGGAGTAACAGACAAAAACTCTGGCTCCTCTACTGGCTTGAAAATAGTAGTTAGAGCTCTGCATGGCCCGATAATTAGCTTTTATGTGTGGGTGTGTAGGGGTTAAAATTTTTGTGGATAAAAATAAACCACGGAATTAACGAAAATTAATACCCCTCGAAATTTACCAACCGTAAAGTAGTTCTTTAATAAGTCATACTATACTACATGCAACACGCAATATTATTTTGAGAAAAATGATTGTAAAAATGTCTACTAACTTTGTAAAATAATGTATCAAAATTTACTTCAGTATCTACTCAGAAAGGCTACTGTTGATGCAGTAAAAACAAGAAGAAATACAAGAATTTATACTAATAATGCATTTTATAAACAAAGGTTTATAAAAAATTCTACAACAGAAAAATTTCTACCTAGCATAACAAAGCCAAGTCCTTCATATTTGCTGCTAAAAATATGACAAAACACAAATCTAAAGCAGTAACGACAACAGCAATTTACTCACGACTATTTTGATGTTACTATCGAAATAATAAAATTTATATTATCAGGCTGGAAACCAAAGGGTACATGTACCA